TTTGCACAGTTGCAAAAGGCGGGTGGCAGTGTCAGCAGGCGTCAGTGACAAGGGGAAGGCCTCAATCGGTACGTGGTTAAGCGTTCATGGGATAAAAAGGAAAACAAGGGCCCGGCGGTTCATTCTGAGTCGAGAGAAAAATGTATTCCTCGGTTTGTCGTAGGGGAGGAACAAGGAAGTCATGAGAACAACCCTCAGTGAGACCACGAGACGTTCTGGAAAGCCTTGGCTCATGCCTCTTGTCCTGGAAAAATTGTTGATGCGTGCTTCTCCCTCTCAAAGTACATGTTAGACAATAAATCACATTTATACGTTTCTATCTATCTATCTATCTATCTTCTATCTATCTATCTACCTGTCTGTCTGTCTGTCTATTTGGTGTGCATGTCCGTAGGTGTAAGTCTCCATTTTGTGGGGTTGGGCTGTTCCTTATACGGTGGCAGCTCACAGTGTCATTCCGTGAACTCCGTCTTACGAGGAGGTGGACACGGGCGGCCTGGTGAGACGGCACGTTGTTGGTTGGCTCAGGTGGCTTTGGACACCGACTGGAGAAAGTTTCTCCGGGTACAGTCAGAACCACTTGCATCAGGATTACCCGGGAGACTTGTGATTCGAAAATGCACATCTCCAAGTTTCCTGAACCTGGGTGTGGGAAGGGTTGAGGAGGCCACATGGTTGGCACACTTTTTGGGTGACTTGCATGCAGAACATGGTTTGAGAAGCTCTAATCTAAATAGAGGACACTGAATAAGTTTTACCTGAACACAGGTACCTGTTTTTACCTGTTTTTGATAAAGACGTGCTGTGTTACTTTCAGAAGCGTGGGTGGCCGGGAAGAAATAACCAATAGTTTCACAATGATGTTCCCAACAATTTTGAAAAATGAAGAGTCACCCGTTTGGGGGGAAGGAATTTTGTCTTCCTAAAGCTTCTTCTCCCTTAGGGTGTATTTTGGGGACCTGTCATGGGTGGTGCATTAACGTAACACTGTGTGTCAAACATACTCAAATAAAAATAATAAAATAAAATAAGATAAAATAAAATAAAATAAAAAATGAAATAA